CTGGGTGGGCTGAGACCGAGCAGAGGAAGCGAGGGACACTACTTATATCGGGATTTAACCATAGGTTTTTATCCCTTTGGTGTTCTCTACTCTTCTCCTTGTGAAGTGTATTGTGTGTGTGAATTGTGATTGGCCTATCGGGATCATTAATTAGTAAAACTTTCTTTTTTTCAAGATACCACGGGGTTTACTTGCTGAGTTTGCCGTGCCGAACCTTCGACTCAACAATCCTCGTCGCTTGTTGAGAACTTAAATTTCCCACACGCAACACAAGGAACGAGTTCCGACTTTAAACTTTTTGTGCAGTCTTTGTCAGGTGGTCTTTGAAGGTGAGTGTCCTGTCTAGGGTAACACCCAGGTAAACTGGCTTGGTGTCATGAGCCAGTTTCTGCCCATTCATAAAGATCTTCAGTTCATGGGAGCTCTGGGCGTGGTGGAGGTGAAAACAACTTGAGACGGTCTTGCTCACACTTGGTTTTGGCCTTCATTTCTTGCAATAGGCAGCAATCTTAAACATGCCACTGTTAAGACTTTTCTCAATCCTGTTGAATTTCTGGCTCCTAATAGCAGTGCAGATGTCATCGACATATGTGAACTTTCTGGAGATTGTCTCAGGCAGATTGTTTGTGAAGATATTGAAGAGATTCAGCGCCAGGACTGGGCCTTGAGGGAGGCCATTTTCCTGAGATCTCCAGGAGCTGATGGAGGAGCCAAGCTGAACTCTGAACCGGCAACCCCTAAGCAGCAGCTCAGTAGTCAGCACTACCCAACGAGGGAGCACAGAAAACATATTGTGCATGTGCAGCAATCCAGTGTGCCAGATGGTATCGTAGACTGCTGTAAAGTCGAGAAAAACTGCCCCAGTCTTCTGTCTCTCTTGGAAGCCGTAGTCTGTAGCTGTAGTCTATGAAGATTCTTGAAACAGATCGACCTGCTTCCACGTTCACGTGGACAAGATGAAGTAAGTCGACGAGGTAGTCGGTAGTTGAGATCCCTTTACAGTTCCCATACTGGGATTTGTTCAGCTTGGAAAGGATTTCATCCAACCGCCAAAGGGCGATTTTTTTCTAGGATCTAGCAGGGGATGTAGGTAAGGGAGATAGGTCGAAAGTCATTTAATGAAGTTTGGGGGCTCTTCTTAGGAACTGGAACGACGGTGGCTTCTTTCCACGAATCTGGGACCTTCCCTGCCTGGAGGGAAGAGTTGAAAATGTCAGAGTGGCTCGGTGAGTTCGGTCGAAAATTCCTTGAAACCCCAAGTTGGAATGTTGTCCAGTCCAGGGCCGGAACATCCCATTGTTTTTCTAAGTTCGTTGTAGACCTCGAAGACGGAAATGGGCGTAGGGGGAAAGGAAGGAAGAAACGCAGGGACTCGGGACTAATTGTTATTCAGTTTACAATAGTGAGAAAATTTTTTTGTAGGCTTAAAAAAACCTGTGACGTGCCCTCCTGACAGAGTGTATCATTCTGAATGTATCACGGTGCAAGAAAAATAAACCTTTTTTTTTACATGCCAGTGTGAGCGTTTTTAAGGGCTTCGTGGAATTTCTTTCCTAAAGATACCCATTCGGCACATTGTACCAACATTGAGCAAAGGTTGATTTTTCAACGTAACAATATTGCCTCAATGTTGAGAAAAGGTTGAAATGGAACACAGTTCAACTTTAAAGAATTGCTGCTGAGTAACGTTGTGTCAAAGCTGAATTGTCAACTTTTGGGCATTACAGTACCTCCTCCCTTATCCAGGGTCAGGGTCTGCAAGAGCGTTAATATCGATTAGGCGATGAGATTGAATAATGATTCGTTGACCCCCGGAGGAGTGGCATGATGTATGGAGTACATTCATCCCTCGAAGAGGGTTGAGTGTACTCAATACATCATTGAATCATCATCTATTGAGTTCACTCATCTCTCGAAGAGGGATGAGTGGAAGGAAAGGAAATATATCCTCTGAGTGTACTCAATAAGGTACACTCAGAGGATGTATTTCCTTTAATGGATCAGAATTCGAGTTGAGTACTTGTGACACAAGTCCTTCTGTTCAGTAGAGGAGACAGCTCCGTGGACACGTTTTCATGTTCTATCCTTGCTGAATGAGCCGGTGTGAGAATATGTTTTTTTTTTTTTAAGAATAGGAGCTAATGGGGTACAGGCCCCTCTCCCTGATGGTGGGTACACCAAGGGTCTCGCCAGTCCCAGTGAAACCCTCCTGCGAGCGGGCTGGCAGATGCAAGACCCCCTAAAAGCTGATTGAGACAATGGGAATGGCTCCCATTGTCCCGGTCGGAGAGCGAGGTTTCTCCTGTCTGTTTTACTGATTACTCATTAGTTAGGACAGTTACAAAAGCAGCCTAGAAAAAGATTAGACCTATTCCTTAATTTTTAAAGAATGAAGACAGGTTGGGGCTATTTTAGACCCACTTTTAAAGATTATTAATTCCTATCTATTTAATAATGGCTTTATGTAAGTTTTAGGTACCTATCAGATGCCCCGAGAGCTACTTGGGATTAACAGGTGCCAGCTGTTAAGAAAACATTATCAGGCTCCCTGCTTGTCCCGATAGATAGAGAGGATAGCTGTTTAATAAGGCGGATCAGCTGAAAAGAGAGAGATCCTACGATTAACGCTGAGCTGCCTTAATTGGTGGGGTATAGAAGCGATTTGGATAGTTTTGGCTGCAAAGATGTAAGGGGTGGATAAAATCAAAATGCCCTTGATGGGGTATCTATACTGCTGGATGAGTTGAGGAGTGAAGAATTGTGAATGGCCTAAAAAGCGGCCGGGGGGACAAAAGAATGGTCAAGGGGGAGGTGAGGGTTGGGGGGAGCATGGTTGAATAGTTGAATCACTTGAGAGATCATCAAGTGTATTAGAAATATAATCCCAACTGGTGATACGACGGCGTATGCTGAAGATGAGATATTCAGTTCTGAACGCTCGTCGTCGCCCTTGGTGCTTTGTGTCGTACGTTGTCAGGTATTTATGCACGTCCTCATGGTAAGTGTCCTCATAGAAATAAAGCGCTAGTTCTGAGGTGTACACGTCAAGAGGTGTACATTCAAGAGGTGTACAGGAGGACTGACCCTATAGATGTAATCGGAGGGGTAGTAGCGTGGGATTCGATAAGCGAACTTAATCGCACCCCATTCGATGCGTGCGAGTGTGTCCAAGATGGAGTCAGGGACATTGGCCCAGGCCGCAAATCCGTACGTTAAAACTGGACGGATGAAGGCCTTATACAGGTGCATGATGACATAGGGTTCACAACCGTTGACACGCGAGAGCAGTCTCAGACGATTCAATTTACGAATTGCCTTTTGGCATAGCATCTGCACTTGGGGGGACCAACGGAGGTGTTTGTGAAAAGTGATGCCTAGAAACTTGCAGGTGGAAGCAGAGGGGATGAGGTCCCCATTCATCCAAAGCATAAAGTTGTACAGTAAGAGTCTCGAGATAGGCTTCTAGGCACATAAAGGTAAAAGGACTTGGAAGGATTCGTGGAAATCCTCCAATCCTTACAGTAAGATGAAAGAGCATCGAGGACTAGTTGAGCATCTTTTTCCAGCTTAACTTCATCTCTTCTGGTGAGCCATATGGCTGTATCATCTGCATATTGGCTGACATGCATATGATGGTATGTGTCGAGGTAAGTCGTTGACAAACGCAAGAAAAAGCAGCGGTGCCAAGATTGATCCTTGTGGTACTCCAGCTGTTGCGGTGTAAGAGCTAAACAGCTGGTTGTTTACTCGAACCTGGAATGTACGACCTGTTAGATAGGATCGTATCCACCTGAAGACTGGAGCGGGGAGGAAGCAGTTGATGGTGGAGCTTGTAGAGCAGGCCCTGATGCCAAACCTTGTCGAACGCTTTGGTGACGTCGGAAAAGAGGGCTAGAAAGTGCGAGAATATGTGCCATGTGGAAGATTTGGGAAAATTGAGCTTGTCTCCGCGGACCCACTGGCCAGAAGTACTTTCAGTCTCCTTCTACCGGGTTACCTCCTTAAACAGGTCTATTGAGAAATTCCTATGCCTTCCCTTAAGAAGAAAGATATATAAGAAAAGATCGGACACTGTATGAAAAATACATAGCACTATTTATTTCAGGGCACCAGGGTAAAAATCGCTGAATCGGCGGTTAGACGCCATCTCGTGTCGATCCGTAGAACCTATTTTCTGTTGATATGATATGAATAACTCCAGTAGAAACAACAGTGAGACAATGATGAAAAACGAATTTGTGTTTAATAGCCTCTGAACGACTTCGCTAATCCACGAGTAGTCGCCATATGCTGAAAATACGAGTCATTACGAATAGCCAGCTGATGTTGATTTTTCGTTGAATTCTCAACTTCAACCAAGTCTCAACGTTTCAACCTTTTCTCAATGTTGACACAACGTTGTTGTGCCAAATGAGTACTTTTCTCGATCCTTTCATTCCTTTAATGAATCGGCCTTTCTCTCTTTACATACATATTCCATTCGTGAAGATATAGTGGAAAATAATGAAGGTCTCCGCACTCCAGGCTATCGGACGCTTGAACGTACAGTATAATTACGCCCCACGCACCGTATGATGTTAAGTGGAATATGGATATCTGCTGGGCCGAAAGAACTACGCCATGCCGTCCGACCGTGACAGCACATAAGCGGGAATCATTCCTACGAGCGATCATAAAAGTGAAGGAGTCTCGAGACCTTACGAATCGGCGTGCGGCTCACGCGTGAACGCATGACTCGCTCGTAGACGCCGACCACACGAGCTCATGGCTCGTTTTCGAGCTGTCACATATGAGTAAAGTCGTGGCGTCCGATTGCCCCTTCATGCGTTAGTGTCGGATCCATCTCCCACCTCTACCCTTTTCGGTAAATCGGTCACTCGTTTCTGTGAAACACCGCTCAAGTACGCTAGAGCCAGTGCTCCTTTCACAAGTCCTGTCTCGTCCGGGATCGATCGAAAAGAAAGACGAATCGCGTACGGCATGGAGAGCTCCTGCGAGGGCTACTCACCTCTTATGGCAGCATTCACTCGATCCAGGTTGTCCAAGGTGAGCCTCATGGGAGAGGCGAGAAGGAGATATCGACGAGAATCTTCGGCATCTTCCTTCAAGAACCAGATTCGGTATCCTCCGGGAGAGATCCCCGACGGATCTTCGCACAACGTCGGGTTCTCGAGGCCTCGCACGTCCAGGGATTCTCCTCGTCGAGATACCCCTTTCTTGGCTCGAATCACCTGCCGATCTCTGGACGTGGTATCTCCTCCGTCGTCCCGCGGCACGAAAGAGGTCGGGGAAAAAAAAGACGCCTACCTCGATGGTGATCCTTCTGTCGGAGACAGTGAGGACTCGAGCGGAGACGACGGTGTCGGCGAGGAATGCGAGATCTTCGATGGGGATGCCTTCTCCGCAACCCTGACTCTCCGCTCCGTCCAAAGTCCACACCAGCACATATAGGAAGCACATCCACGGGAACATTCTAGGATTCACCCTCATTCTCGTCGTTCACCTGTTGCTGTAGGCATCAATGCGGGTATAGGCATCGTAACGGCAGAATGCGTACCTTTAGCATCCATTCTTCCGATCGTTCTTTCGGCGGAACGTCCGACCTCTTTAGGGGTTACTCGGTATTTCACCCCCGGGAAGATTTTCGGATTACCTACACCAGCGCAACATGGTTCCTCCAGAGTCGAGTCGCTTATCGGTGAACTGCAGCGAATATTATAAACGTTCTAATGATTCCCAACGTCAGGTGTCGTGGAGGACGGACTGTTGCAGTTAACCGTGTTCCACACGTGAACAGTATATCAACGTTCAACCCCTTTCATTGACCTACTCCGAATGATGGTACCTTCAAGTACTGCAGCAAGCACTACAGCAATTAGTACTTGATCTCAATATCTCAAAAACGGCAAGATCGAATGCAAAGCCACAGGATCATGCCATAGAGATTGTCACTGCTGTTATGGACATGCAAGTGGCTGTTCATAAATTGAGCGCGTTTTCATGATAGGCGTGCTCAAAGTTGGCGCAATGAGGTTCCATCGTGAGGGTTCGTTCGCACTTCCTTTCAGGTCAAAGTTAGGTTGAGTTTAGGTTTAGATTTAGATCAAGTTCAGCAGAGACGAGTAACAACTCAAACAGGAAGAAACCTTGATTCCAACTTAGGTGCACGGGTGACTGGACCCGAAGACAAGCCCGGGTGACATCCAACTAAGCCAAAGTACGAGTACAAGGAGTGGACTGATAAAACACCGTCGGGAAAAAGACAATCGATGTCCAGAGCTTTATAGACCTAACTTCCTCGGAGCACACGCTGGGCGGCACGAAAAGGAATTTCACTCCCAAATGACATTAAAGGAAAACGACGTCCTTGTCTCTCCTACCCCCATATCATTTTCATATACCAAACCAAATGGAGCCTGACACCATGTGTAAGAAAGGGACAAACTCTTTCACGGATGCGATGAGGAGAGGATGAGTATTCCCCTTCAAGGAATTTATGTCCTGACGGGGACGAGGGGGGGAAAGGAGAAACACAAAGAAACCAGGCAACGAAGGCTCTATTTCTTTATCGACATGGAAAGAACGACTCTCATTCATCAGTGCCTTTTGAATTCAACGACCTGTTCATGGAAACGTATGAGTATGCTCCATGGCGTAAATCGGTAGTGTAAAGTCTCCCTATTGCGCCGTGCTTTTTAAAAGAATGTTTATGTGATATTACGCCGAAGACACGTTGAGCAGCAGCACGAAAGCTATCAGCAATGGGAACTGATACCGAATTAAAGTTGTAGCAGTATAGAAGGGGAAATTTGATCATATGGGACAGGTATCGGGGGATCAGTCTTCCATTGGCCATACGGTTTCAGTTTTCCACGATGAAGACAGCCTCGCTTTCTGGTCCAATCATGGCACTTGTTTCATCTAGAAAGTTTCAAGAGATTTCTCTCGGAAGACCTTGATGCAACATCTTGGAATGCATGAGTCTTAGTGAAGGAGAAATCACAACAACGTTTCCTCCTCGTTCCGTATCGACTCAATTCGGTCTCTCCGACGGGAAAATAGAGAAAAAGTCCGACAACAAATTTCTCCTCGAGTGATCCTCCTTGGCCGTTCTATTGAAATCGACACCAATATCTCTTTCCAGTCGATGGACGGGGCTCTATCTATCGGTTGACGCAGTCCTCCTGTAAATCAAATTTTTATTACGTTTTAGCGCTAATGAGGAAGTTCCGCTTCATACCCCTCTCCATCTGATCAGCCATAGTGGAGAGAGGAATTCATCTCTTTCTTCGAGAATGCCCTTTTAAGCGTGCTAGACCGAAAATTCCGTTTGACATTTTGTCACAGACGGTCGGAAAAGAGAGGAAAACCTGAATGAAGTCGTTATTTCCATGCCGAGGGAATCCGTCTTTACCGTCTGGTATCTCATTCTCCAGCCCTTCTTCCCCTGTCTGGGTACGAATCCCTTGAGAAGGAATTCGCACACTCTGCTCATCACATCCATGAAGGAGATTCTCTCATTCCAGCACATTGCATCTGAATCGAGTCGGTTTGGTATAATGGAGATGCTCAACCAGTTCCTGTCAAAACGCACAGGAAGTAAAGCAGTACCATCAGATGAGAAATCTTTGACTCGCCGCGCTATGTTGCTTTGAGAATTGATCAGAAACTTATTTTATCAAGACATACTGCTTACATGCTTGCCAATGGCAGCGGACACATCTTGATTGCCATTCGCAATCGTGTCGATGTCAGATGGATCGATGAACTGATATTTCACACGAGCGCACTGTTTCGTGCCAAATATCTGTTGCGTCGCGAAATGAGACATATGTAGATATATGCAAGGCAAGGGAATGTCAGGACCCTCTGAAACGCAACTCTTTCTTTCCTTACCTCCTCCATGTCTAATCTGAGCTGTGAGAGATTTGACATACTCGTTGCAGAGCGAAGCATGCTACCTTTCCAAGTGAAGAAAAGGTACACGAGATATAACTCGCAGACGAATGGACGTGGATGTAATTTGAAATGCAGCAATGTGTAGGAAGAGTGTAATGAGTTTATACACGCGAAAAACGAAGATAAAATAGGGTAACAACTTAAAGCTAATAAATTCGTCAATTTTCGCGACAGTTACTGAAGTTCTGATTTAAAAATTTTTTCCGTGAAATTTGGAGGTAATACAGTAAATAATTAGTGGAACGGTGACAGAACAAGCATGAAGAAAGGTACTTTAGTGGTAAAGCATTCAATGACCAGGTATCTTGTAATGGAGGCTGTAATTTACGTGAAGGAAGGAAAGGGGAGGACCACAAGTGAAAGAGAGACGGAGCAGCAGGCTAGGGAAAGGCATGGGCAAGAAGGGAGGAAGGGAGGAAGGGAAATGGAGCTTGTAGTGGGGTCGTTGCTTGATCGCCCTCATTCCAGCGCCTGCATTCCATTCCACCCTCGCCTGTGCAGTCTCTTTTACAGGGTGCTCCAAAAAAATCTGACATTTATCTTTGCAGTAACTCAAGAATGGTAAGGTAAAAAAAAAAGCATGAAAATTGGTATTAAAATAATAGGGTCTTTGCAAAAAGAGTTACAATAACTGAAATGTACATGGGGATATTTTCATATTAGGTGCTCATCAGATGAGTGTCACTGTAGATTATGATGAATGGGATTTGTGATGTTCACAAAGGGGAGTTCGCTAACTTATATGCCCCCTCATCATGGCATTATCCACGGTAAGCGAGCAAAATGATCCTTAGTGTAGAAAGGGGCAATGACAGCCCATCAAAAGTTAATACATAAATATCGCTGCATGTACTGCAATGCACTAATATCTATTAAAAATAACTTTCTAAATGAAACTGAAGAAAATTAACCTAGACCATGGTTGTGGGGAGTTTGGGGCTAGGGGTGGGGGTTACTATGATCAAGGCATTTATATTGGCAAACTTCAGAGCTACCGTTATCGTTCGAAGTTTGTGGAGTATTAAAAAAAAATGTTTACTCTCCTCATTCACCTTCTCCTATTCACTCTTTCCATTAATCTATAACGAAATGCCGAAAGCAAAAATGTCAACAGCGAATGCGAGGAACAGCGATGGATAAAAATGTTGAAATACAGAAATGTGGAATCCCTCACTTCCCCGAACGTTGAATATACCGACTGTAATCATATCTCTGAGGAAAAAAAAAAAAAACGAAAATGCCAAAAACCCAGAAGGATAGGTGATTGCGAAGTCAAGATTACAAAAGTCACTAACGAAGACATCTCCATCAATATCCAAATGATTTCGGCCCTTTCTTCATACCAGCACAAGATGTTACCTCTTCCGAGATTCATGCTAGCAGAAGCGATGCCAATTATCACGTTCTTCCGTGACGAAAGGCAATTGCGAGGGCGTCCAAGAACAAATTCACTCTTCCCTCCTGCTCCGTGGAATCAAAGGAAGCGTGCCTTCGATGTGGAGCTTCGCACCACGAATCATTTTGAAGGCTGTCACAGATGCTTTTCATCTAACAAGTACCTCGTACAGATGGTAAAAGCCACCCCAACACCTTCGTCCACGAATTGCACTAGGAGCAGGTAAGCACTGAGTGAGATTCAATGACTGGAAGTTGGCCCACCCTCTTAAAAGAGGAGAAATGAAATATCGAAGGACTTTCGGATCAAGCGCTTATGAGACTTATGGAACTCATTACATAATATCCTACTTGAGGGCCATTGCTCACCTCGTGCGACTCAGAATTTACAGAACAGCCATAAGTTTTCTCGATCTTCCTCCAAGTGTGCCCTCTTTAGCTCCTGGTTAATTACATGTGATGACTGTATGTATTCTCTTGGAAAGTTAGTTACGACGTTCCAATTTAGAATGGGAAATAAAATGTATCATCGGCGTTTTTAGCATTCTTAGACATTTCGAGCATTCTACATACATGTAATTAGGCAAAATGGAATTCGGCGAAATGGGATTCGGCATTTCGTCGTATACCGCTTTCCATGACTTAGTGCTTAACCACACCCAACTCTCCCCTTTTTTGACCACCGTGTTCCTTGACTTGGTTCACTAGCTCCCTTAGCCCCCACCCCCTTCTCCCACCCTTTCCTCCCCTTCACTTGTGGTCAACGATGAAATAATCCACATATTTTCAAATAAGACTATTCCTTAGTAGTATATCTTATCTCTAGAANTAATACTCCACAAACTTCGAACGATAACGGTAGCTCTGAAGTTTGCCAATATAAATGCCTTGATCATAGTAACCCCCACCCCTAGCCCCAAACTCCCCACAACGGAATCGTATAAATACTCCTTCAAAAATTGGCAAATGTGTTACTGTACTACTGTGCTACTGTACTGTTCATCAGACAGTTTTTCCCATGTTCTGCTTTCATTCGTTCTAGAGATAAGATATACTACTAAGGAATAGTCTTATTTGAAAATATGTGGATTATTTCATCGTTGACCACAACCATTTTTATATTCTAACTTCGAAAGATGACGATAGCTCTGATACCT